ACCTTCACCCATTTTCAAGGTCACAGGGGTCAAATATGTTAAAAACTTTAAACATCTTCTTCTCGATAACCAAACTGCCCAGGGAGATGATATTTGGCCAGTAGCATGCTTGGGTTAAGGGCTACCAAGTTTGTTCAAATGCATGACCTTCACCCATATTCAAGGTCACAGGGGTCAATTGTCTTAAAAAACCTTTAAACAACTTCTGATGAATAACCAAAAGGCTCAGGATGTTGATATTTAGTCAGTAGCATGCTGGGATCGAGGACTACTATGTTTGTTAAAGTGAATGACTTTGACTTAAATTCAAGGTCACAAGTGTCAAATTTGTTTAAAATCTTTAAACGACCTCTTCTGAATAACCATGGGTCCCAGGATGTTGATACTTTGCAAGTTGAGATGAAAGGCTATAAAATTTGTTCAACATAATGACTTTGTTCGACTTTCAATCGGAGGGGTGAAATGTTTTAAAAGAAATTAACAGGATCTTTTGAATGAATTTTAATCATAAATACTGATATTTTTCCTGTAGCTTTATTTTAGATCACTTTTAAGGTTACAAGTGTGAGATTTATACTAGGTGAGCGATGCAGGCCCATTGGGCCTCTTGTCTACAATAGCTCTGATACATGTGTTCAGTGAGTTTTATTGTTTATACAGCTTATAATGTTAATTGAAAGTCATCTTTTATTACTTGTTATAGTAAATGTCATCTGTTGTCTCTGAAAGCATGAATTCCTAAACCTCTTGTGGTTGTTAAAATTTACCACTTATTAATAGAAAGATTTGTTATTCTAAAATTTTAAATATTTTTGTAAGATATTGAGTCAATTTTCTGAATTGGTCTAATGTTAGATAACCAGTGTTTTGTGCGATATGTTGTACACAGTTGGTGAGACGGCGTCGTTGCATCACTCCCCGAGTCTGGCAGCCGCTGCAGTTGAATATTTCTCTTGGAAAAGGTAATTTTTGTCAATAGTCATTAACAGTAGAAATGTTTTTCTGGAGCATATCTTCTATACTATTTCACCTGAAGTAGCCAGATTTGGTATGCAAGTACATCTCTGGATGGTAGAGTGGAGTGGATGAGAAATAGGTCACTGTGACTTTTGCATTGACATCTGAATCTTAACCTTTGAAAAGCTTGTCCAGGGCATATCCTCTATGCTATTTCACCAAGATTAACCATATTCAATATGCAGGTATATTTTATAATGGGCAGTATGCGAAAAGTAGGTCACCATGATGAATGACTTGTCCTCTGACCTCAGTCATTGACGGAGCCTATATAATTTCACTTAGGGTAACCAGTTTGTACATGCTTTGATCTTTTACTTTACCATTTGAATTTGTTTTGGTATGCAGCTATATCCTGAGATGGCAGTATTAACTCTAGTGAAAACAAGTCACCGTGATCTTTATTTTGAACTCTAACTGCAATCATTCGAAAAAAATACTGGATTTTGTATCAGAATACTTTCTTGCTGTAGGTAGATCCTTACTGGTTAAGGACAATGGATTGCCTTGCTATGCATTGTACTCAGTAAAACATATATTCAGTCATAATGCCAAGTGTACATAAGGATTATCAGTGTTAACTCATACAGCAAAGTATACATACAGATAACTAGCTAGCTCAGCGATAACTCATACAGCAAAGTGTACATATAGATAACTGTAGCTAGCTTAGTGTTATCTCATACAGCAAAGTGAACATACAGATAACTGTAGCTAGCTTAGTGTTATCTCATACAGGAAAGTGTACATATAGATAACTGTAGCTAGCTTAGTGTTATCTCATACAGTAAAGTATACATACAGATAACTAGCTAGCTTAGTGTTATCTCATACAGCAAAGTGTACATATAGATAACTGTAGCTACCTTAGTGTTATCACATACAGCAAAGTGTACATATAGATAACTGTAGCTAGCTTAGTGTTATCTCATACAGCAAAGTGAACATACAGATAACTGTAGCTAGGTCAGTGTTACCTCATACAGCAAAGTGAACATACAGATAACTGTAGCTAGGTCAGTGTTATCTCATACAGGAAAGTGTTCATACAGATAACTGTAGCTACCTTAGTGTTAACTCATACAGGAAAGTGTACATATAGATTACTGTAGCTAGCTCAGTGTTAACTCATACAGTAAAGTGAACATACAGATAACTGTAGCTAGGTCAGTGTTATCTCATACAGCAAAGTGAACATACAGATAACTGTAGCTAGCTTAGTGTTAACTCATACAGGAAAGTGTACATATAGATAACTGTAGCTACCTTAGTGTTATCTCATACAGTAAAGTGAACATACAGATAACTGTAGCTACCTTAGTGTTATCACATACCGCAAAGTGAACAAACAGATAACTGTAGCTACCTTAGTGTAAACTCATACAGCAAAGTGTTCATTTAGATAAATGTAGCTAGCTCAGTCTTATCGGATACAGCAAAGTGTGCATATCGATAACTGTAGCTACCTTAGTGTTATCTCATACAGCAAAGTGTACATACAGATAACTGTAGCTACCTTAGTGTTATCTCATACATTAAAGTATACATACAAATAACTGTAGCTAGGTCAGTGTTATCTCATACAGCAAAGTGTACATATAGATAACTGTAGCTAGCTCAGTGTTATCTCATTCAACAAAGCGTACATACGCATAACTGTTTCTAGTTCAATGTTATCTCATACAGCAAAGTGTACATATAGATATCTGTAGCTAGCTCAGTGTTATCTCATACAACAAAGTGTACATACGCACAACTGTTTCTAGCTCAGTGTTAACTCATACAGCAAAATGTACATACGCATAACTGTAGCTACCTTAGTGTAAACTCATACAGTAAAGTGTTCATACAGATAACTGTAGCTACCTTAGTGTTATCTCATACAGCAAAGTGTACATACAGATAACTGTAGCTAGCTCAGTGTTATCTCATACAACAAAGTGTACATACAAATAACTGTAGCTAGCTCAGTGTTAAATCAGCAATGTTGAAATATTACAAGCTTGCATTCATAAATGCCACTGATCAATTGATAAAGAGGGTTGGCTTAAACTTTGTGTCTGTCAAGTTGTCGATAACCTATAGCGCAAAATCTGTCAAATTCTGTGTTTGAATTTTGTGTGTCATATTTAACTTGCAGGAATTTGTTTCCTCAGGGACTAGAGTCTATTGCGGTCTGAATTTGTTTCTTCAGGGACTAGAATCTATTGTGGTCTGAATTTGTTTCTTCAGGGACTAGAATCTATTGTGGTCTGAATTTGTTTCTTCAGGGACTAGAATCTATTGTGGTCTGAATTTGTTTCTTCAGGGACTAGAATCTATTGTGGTCTGAATTTGTTTCTTCAGGGACTAGAATCTATTGTGGTCTGAATTTGTTTCTTCAGGGACTAGAATCTATTGTGGTCTGAATTTGTTTCTTCAGGGACTAGAATCTATTGTGGTCTGAATTTGTTTCTTCAGGGACTAGAATCTATTGTGGTCTGAATTTGTTTCTTCAGGGACTAGAATCTATTGTGGTCTGAATTTGTTTCTTCAGGGACTAGAATCTATTGTGGTCTGAATTTGTTTCTTCAGGGACTAGAATCTATTGTGGTCTGAATTTGTTTCTTCAGGGACTAGAATCTATTGTGGTCTGAATTAGTTTCTTCAGGGACTAGAATCTATTGGGATCTGAATTTGTTTCTTCAGGGACTAGAATCTATTGTGGTCTGAATTTGTTTCTTCATGCAGGGACTAGAATATCTATTGGGGTCTGAATTTGTGGTTGTGTTTGACTTGCTAAAGTCTGTTTTTTCAGAGACTGGAATCTACATAGAGCATGGCTTATATGTAAGTCGCATAAGTCCTGGTTCTGTTGTTGCTAAGGAAGGTCTTCTGGTCACAGGAGACAGGATCGTTGGGGTAAGTCTCACAATTCAATATTTACTCTTGCTATATAATAAAGAAAGCTGAAAACATGTAGACAAGAGAACGTTTTTAGCTCACCTGGTCCGAAGGACCGTTGCGCTTATGCCATGGTGCGGCGTTCGTGGTCCGTCTGTCAACTTTTCCTTTAAAATACTACTTGTCCTGAACGGCCCAGTAGATTTTGACTGAATTTGGTCTGGAGCACCCTTGGGCCAAGGGCATTCAATGATGTATAAACCGTGGCTGTGGCTCCCCTGGGGGCATAGGGGCGGGGCGGGGCCCAATAGGGGAAATAGAGGTAAAACCTTTAAAATCCTTCTTCTACTATAGGGATGAAGGGATTTTATCCATATTTAGTCTAGAGCATCCTTGGGCCAAGGGGACTAAATTTTGTATAAACGGTGGGTGTGGCCCCCCTAGGGGCAGAGGGGTGTGGCTGAATAGGGAAATAGAGGTAAACCTTTAAATCCTTCTTCTACCATAAAGATTAAGGAATTTTATCCAAATTTGGTCTGAAACATCCTTGGGCAAAGGGCTTTCAATTTTGTATAAATGGGGGGTTTGAACCCCCTGGGGGCAGACTTGCGGTGCCAAATAGGGGAAATAGAGGTTAAAGCTTTGAAATCTTTCTTCTACCATTTGGATGAAGGGACTTAATCCCAGTTAGTTCTAGAGCATCCTTCTTGCAAGGGGACTCAAAATTTGTATAAATGGTGGATGTGGCCCCCCTGGGGGCAAAGGGTTGGGGCCCAATAGGGGAAATAGAGGTAAAATCTTGAAATGCCTTCTTCTACCGTAGGGATAAAGGGTTTTATCCTGATTTAGTCTTGAACATCCTTGGGGGAAGGGGAATACATTTTGTATAAACGGAGGGTGTGGCCCCACTGGGTGCAGAGTTGGGGGCCCAATAGGGGTATTTGAGATTAAAATCTTTAAAATCCTTCTTCTTCTGAACCGTTGGAGGTAGTTTATGTATTAAGAATAATTTTCCATGGTTACTTTATTATCAAGGTGAGCGATACAGGCCCTCTGGGCCTCTTGTTCACTAAAAAAAAAGCAAAAAAAAGTTTTAAGTTTTAAGTACCCAAAAGTAAAAAAGTAACCCTCATTCTTGTCTTGGTACATTGAATTTTTTTTTTATCAGGGATTAAAATCCATTAAAAGATTGTGTCATGGAATCGTAACATAAAATGGAAGTTGCTTACATACCTGCACCAACATGGGTTGCTATTTTGTCTGTCTGCTTACTTGGCAATGACAGTACTTTTTGTGTAACAGGTGAATGGTAAATCTGTGGAGAGTCTCAGTGCTAAGGAGCTGATGCGACTCCTGGATGACTGCCGGGACTCTTGTGTTATGGAGATCTGGCGACAAACATCACCCCTTGGGATCAACTCAGCTGGTTCTTCTCCCATTCCCGTCCCACTGACAAGTCTGTCTCATCTCTCGGAGCAAATCTCACACCGGTTAACTAAGCCAGAGAGTCCCCCTCTCAAACCTCAGTCAATGTGGGACGGAAACATAACCTCTGACAGTGGGAAAAGTAGTACAAAGATGCGTAGTAGTGGATCCCAGACAGACAGTCTGGACAGTCCCGGACCTCCGTCCAGACATAAGGACAAACGTTACCAGGAGAGGGACTTGGATAAACCAAACAGACATAGTGTGCTTGAGAAAATTAAAATGTTCAAACATAGACATAAAAGTCAGGAACGAAATGAGGTTGATGATGGAACGCTGAAACAGCAAGATTTGATGTCACAAAGTGTGTATGTGAACACTTGCAGGTCTCCTGATGATATAATAGGGGAGTTTGATATGCCTCTTGCTGGTACCAGTATGCATGAAAAACTAACTGCAAATAAACCTGAGAATAAAACATCTCGTAAACGTGAGCTGGAGAGTGAAAACAGTGGCACTTGGCCAAAGTGCTGTCGTGTTTATCCTACAGCTAGTAATGGCACTGTGATGTTTCCACAGCGTAGGCATGAGCGCCCTACACTTGAGGCATTGATAAATCCAGAAAGGCTGGTTCCAAAAACACCCCCGACACCACCAGAGCGAACAGGTGCTTCATATGTGGCGGTGCGTCACAGCCCACAGAGTAGTGATTCTACACTTACTGGTAAATATCGGCATAGTCCACAGAGCAGTGATTCCACCTTACAGCTTGGCTCCCCCTCGCCCATCAACTCCCCAAAGTTCAGCAGCAAGTCTAATCAATATCTACACAACACTGCCTCTGTGCCTCCATTCCAGCAACAGGACTCTCACATTTTGCCTGACTATTCTCACAGAAACACGGGCAGTTCTCGGAGCTCACGTCAGGCTCACAAACGCTATACTGTTGGGTCCTTTGGGCCAGACTTCCCACCTAAAGAGGGGTTTGAACAGCATCCTCCACCTCGCGTACGCAATAAGCCTGCTCGACACCTCGACCGTGATATCAGAGGTAGTCAGAAGTATACCAACAAGTACAGGTCTAGTCAGTCTCATAGCTCTGTGAATTGCAGCAAGTCGCCACAAGGCCATACAGCATTTGACTTTCCACACAACACTTCATCCTTGGGTGGGAGCACAGGAAGTACACGATGGTCCAGTAATATGTCCTCTCCACATGATGGTTTACATTCCCCACCCTACACCCCCTCTGTCGGGGTCAGCTCCCCACCATACACGCCTGCTGCTATGGTAAGGTCACCTCCATACCAACCCCCTCCCAGAGGACAGAGTAGCAGGTATGTTATCATTTTGGTTTAATTGTATCTATTGCATGTGAATGTTCCAGGACTTAGTGCATACCATGTTCACATTTTTACCTGGCAAATATTTGCTCTCTGTCCTTTTGCATCAAATTATTATCTGTTATAACTTGAGTTCTAAGGGTCTTACTCTGTTGATACTTTCTGCAGTGATACATAGAGGATATGCTTTACATCAAAGGGTCAGCTTTTATTTTTTTAGCTCAGCTGGTCCAACGGAATTATTTAGCATATAATTGCTTCAAAAAAAAGAATTTGAAAAAATGTTCAATGTAGAAATGATAAATGATTCAATTCAGCCTCAGTATGGCCTCGAGTATAAAACCGCATAGCTGGACCGGATATAAAACCGTGTAGCTAGCCTGGGTATAAAACCATGTAGCTAGCCTGGGTATAAAACTGTGTAGCTAGCCAGGGAAAACCATGTAGCTAGCCTTGGTATAAAACCATGAAGCTAGCCAGGGAAAACCATGTAGCTGGCCTGGGTATACAACTGTGTAGCTAGCCAGGGAAAACCGTGTAGCTGGCCCAGGTATAAAACCGTGTAGCTGGCCCGGGTATAAAACCGTGTAGCTAGCCTGGGTATAAAACTGTGTAGCAGGCCCGGGTATAAAACCATGAAGCTGGCCTGGGTATAAAACCATGGAGCTGGCCTGGGTATAAAACCATGTAGCTGGCCTGGGTATAAAACTGTGTAGCTAGCCAGGGAAAACCATATAGCTAGCCTGGGTATAAAACTGTGTAGCTAGCCAGGGAAAACCATGTAGCTGGCCCGGGTATAAAACCGTGTAGCTGGCCCGGATATAAAACTATGTAGCTGGCCCGGGTATAAAACCGTGTAGCTGGGCCGGGTATAAAACCGTGTAGCTGGCCCAATGAATCTTGACTACCATATGATGAATGGATGTCAGACTTTAATTGATATGAAGGTCAGTGTGGTGTAATGAAATGAGGTTGATAAGATCAACGTCTATTTGACCTTGACCCCAAGCATAAATTCACATATATCGCCCTATATAACCGAGAGCGATAAAAAACAGAAGAAATATCTTACAACATTTTAAAAGCTATTATTTATATAAGCCTTATACAGGAACTTTTTGTGGGTAGGAAGTATAGGAACCGTGTGTGGGCAGGGAGTATAGGAACCGTGTGTGGGTAGGAAGTATAGGAACTTTGTGTGGGTAGAGAGTATAGGAACCGTGTGTGGGTAGGGAGTGTAGGAACCGTGTGTGGGTAGGGAGTATAGGAACCGTGTGTGAGTAGGGAGTATAGGAACTTTGTGTGGGTAGGGAGTATAGGAACTTTGTGTGGGTAGGAAGTATAGGAACTTTGTGTGGGTAGAGAGTATAGGAACCGGGTGTGGGTAGGGAGTGTAGGAACCGTGTGTGGGTAGGGAGTATAGGAACCGTGTGTAGGTAGGGTGTATAGGAACTTTGTGTGGGTAGGAAGTATAGGAACCATGTGTGGGTAGGAAGTATAGGAACCGTTTGTGGGTAGGAAGTATAGGAACCGTGTGTGGGCAGGGAGTATAGGAACCGTGTGTGGGTAGGAAGTATAGGAACCGTGTGTGGGAAGGAAGTATAGGAACTGTGTGTAGGTAGGAAGTATAGGAACCTTGTTTGGGTAGGAAGTATAGGAACCGTGTGTGGGAAGGAAGTATAGGAACTTTGTGTTGGTAGGAAGTATAGGAACCATATGTGGGTAGGAAGTATAGGAACCGTTTGTGGGTAGGAAGTATATGAACCGTGTGTGGGAAGGAAGTATAGGAACCGTGTGTGGGTAGGAAGTATAGGAACCGTGTGTGGGAAGGAAGTATAGGAACTGTGTGTAGGTAGAAAGTATAGGAACCTTGTTTGGGTAGGAAGTATAGGAACCGTGTGTGGGAAGGAAGTATAGGAACTGTGTGTAGGTAGAAAGTATAGGAACCTTGTGTGGGTAGGAAGTATAGGAACCGTTTGTGGGTAGGAAGTATAGGAACCGTGTGTGGGCAGGGAGTATAGGAACCGTGTGTGGGTATGAAGTATAGGAACTTTGTGTGGGTAGAGAGTATAGGAACCGTGTGTGGGTAGGGAGTGTAGGAATCGTGTGTGGGTAGGGAGTATAGGAACCGTGTGTAGGTAGGGTGTATAGGAACTTTGTGTGGGTAGGAAGTATAGGAACCGTGTGTGGGAAGGAAGTATAGGAACTGTGTGTAGGTAGGAAGTATAGGAACCTTGTTTGGGTAGGAAGTATAGGAACCGTGTGTGGGAAGGAAGTATAGGAACTTTGTGTGGGTAGGAAGTATAGGAACTTTGTGTGGGTAGGGAGTATAGGAACTTTGTGTGAGTAGGGAGTATAGGAACTTTGTGTGGGTAGGGAGTATAGGAACCGTGTGTGGGTAAGGAGTATAGGAACCTTGTGTGGGTAGGAAGTATAGGAACCGTTTGTGGGTAGGAAGTATATGAACCGTGTGTGGTAAGGAAGTATAGGAACCGTGTGTGGGTAGGAAGTATAGGAACCTTGTGTAGGTAGGAAGTATAGGAACTGTGTGTGGGTAGGAGGTATAGGAACCATGTGTGGGTAGGAAGTGTAGGAAGTATCCATGGAACTTTGTGTGGGTAGGAAGCATAGGAACTGTGTGTGGGTAGGAGGTATAGGAACCATGTGCAGGTAGAAAGAATAGGAATTGTGTGTGGGTAGGAGGGATAGGAACCATGTGCAGGTAGAAAGAATAGGAATTGTGGGTGGGTAGGAGGTATAGGAACTGTGTGTTGGTAGGAAGTATAGGAACTGTGTGTGGGTAGGAAGTATTGGAACCTTGTGTNGTATAGGAACCGTGTGTGGGTAGAAAGTATAGGAACTTTGTGTGGGTAGGAAGTATAGGAACTTTGTGTTTGTAGGAAGTATAGGAACCGTGCGTGGGAGGCAGGTATAGGAATTTTGTGTGGGTAGGAATTATAGGAACCTTGTGTGGGTAGGGAGTATAGGAACCGTGTTTGGGTAGGGAGTGTAGGAACCGTGTGTGGGTAGGGAGTATAGGAACCGTGTGTAGGTAGGGTGTATAGGAACTTTGTGTGGGTAGGAAGTATAGGAACCGTGTGTGGGTAGGAAGTATAGGAACCTTGTGTGGGAAGGAAGTATAGGAACTTTGTGTTGGTAGGAAGTATAGGAACCATGTGTGGGTAGGAAGGATAGGAACCGTGTTTGGTAAGGAAGTATAGGAACCTTGTGTAGGTAGGAAGTATAGGAACCTTGTGTGGGTAGGAAGTATAGGAACCGTGTGTGGGTAAAAGGATACCATGTGCAGGTAGGAAGTATAGGAACTGTGTGTGGGTAGGTTTTATAGGAGCCTTGTGTGGGTAAGAAGTATGTATGGAAATTTGTGTGAGTAGGAAGTATAGGAACTGTGTGTGGGTAGGAAGTATAGGAAATGTGTGTGGGTAGGAAGTATAGGAACCATGTGTGGATAGGAAGTATAGGTACGTGTGTGGGTAGGAAGTATAGGAACCTCGTGTTGGTAGAAAGTATAGGAACCATGTGTGGGTAGGAAGCATAGGAACCTCGTGTTGGTAGGAAGTATGGGAACTGTGTGTGGATAGGGAGTATAGGAACCTTGTGTGGGTAGGAAGTATCCATGGAACTTTGTGTGGGTAGGAAGCATAGGAACTGTGTGTGGGTAGGAAATATGGGAACCATGTGTGGGTAGGAAGTATAGGAATTGTGTGTAGGTAGGAAGTATAGGAACCTCGTGTTGGTAGGAAGTATGGGAACTGTGTGTGGATAGGGAGTATAGGAACCGTGTGTGGGTAGGAAGTATAGGAACCTTGTGTGGGTAGGAAATATAGGAACCGTGTGTGGGAAGGAAGTACAGGAACCTTGTGTGGGTAGGAAGTATCCATGGAACTTTGTGTGGGTAGGAAGCATAGGAACTGTGTGTGGGTAGGAAATATGGGAACCATGTGTGGGTAGGAAGTATAGGAATTGTTTATAGGTAGGAAGTATAGGAACCATGGGTGGGCAGGGAGTATAGGAACTGTGTGTGGGTAGGAAGTTTAGGAACCTTGTGTAGGTAGGAAGTATAGTAACCTTGTGTGAGTAGAAAGTATCGGAATTTTTTGTGGGTAGGAAGTATAGGAACCTTGTGTGGATAGGAAGTATAGGAACTGTGTGTGGGTAGAAAGTATAGAAACCTTGTGTGGGTAGGAAGTATAGGAATTGTTTATAGGTAGGAAGTATAGGAACCATGGGTGGGCAGGGAGTATAGGAACTGTGTGTGGGTAGGAAATATGGGAACGATGTGTGGGTAGGAAGTATAGGAACTGTGTGGGAAGGAAAAATGGAAACCATGTGTGGGTAGGAGGTATGGGAACTGTGTGTAGGTAGGAAGTATAGGAACCGTGTGTGGGTAGGGAGTATAGGAACTTTGTGTGGGAAGGAAGTATAGGAACTGTGTGTGGGTAGAAAGTATAGAAACCTTGTGTGGGTAGGAAGTATAGGAATTGTGTGTAGGTAGGAAGTATGGGAACCTCGTGTTGGTAGGAAGTATGGGAACTGTGTGTGGATAGGGAGTACAGGAACCTTGTGTGGGTAGGAAGTATCCATGGAACTTTGTGTGGGTAGGAAGCATAGGAACTGTGTGTGGGTAGGAAATATGGGAACCATGTGTGGGTAGGAAGTATAGGAATCGTGTGTGGGTAGGAAGTATAGGAACCTCGTGTTGGTAGGAAGTATGGGTACTGTGTGTGGATAGGGAGTATAGGAACCTTGTGGGGGGAGGAAGTATCCATGGAACTTTGTGTGGGTAGGAAGTATAGGAACCTTGTGTAGGTAGGAAGTATAGTAACCTTGTGTGAGTAGAAAGTATCGGAATTTTTTGTGGGTAGGAAGTATAGGAACCTTGTGTAGGTAGGAGGTATAGGAACTGTGTGTAGGTAGGAAGTATAGAAACTGTGTGTGGGCAGGGAGTATAGGAACCGTGTGTAGGTAGGGAGTATAGGAACTGTGTGGGTAGGAAGTATAGAAACCATGTGTGGGTAGAAAGTATAGGAACCGTGTGTGGGAAGGAAGTATAGGAACCTTGTGTGGGTAGGAAGAATAGGAACCGTGTGTGGGTAGGAAGTATAGGAACCTTGTGTGGGTAGGATGTATAGACACCGTGTGTGGGTACTTGTGTGGGTAGGAAGAATAGGGTAGGAAGAATAGGAACCGTGTGTGGGTAGGAAGTATAGGAACCTTGTGTGGGAAGGAAGTATAGGAACTTTTTGTGGGTAGGAAGTATAGGAACCTTGTGTGTGTAGGAAGTATAGGAACCGTGTGTGGGAAGGAAGTATAGGAACTTTGTGTGGGTAGGAAGTATAGGAACCATGTGTGGGTAGGAAGGATAGGAACCGTGTGTGGGTAGGAAGTATAGGAGCCGTGTGTGGGTAAAAGTATAGGAACCTGTGGGTAGGAAGTATAGGATCCTTGTGTAGGTAGGAAGTATAGGAACTTTGTGCGGGTAGGAAGTATAGTAACCATGTGTGGGTAGGAAGGATAGGAACCGTGTGTGGGTAGGAAGTATAGGAAACGTGTGTGGGTAGGAAGTATAGGAACCTTGTGTAGGTAGGAAGTATAGGAACCTTGTGTGGGTAGANTGTGTGGGTAGGAAATATGGAAACCATGTGTGGGTAGGAGGTATAGGAACTGTGTGTGGGTAGGAAATATGGAAACCATGTGTGGGTAGGAAGTATAGGAACTGTGTGTAGGTAGGAAGTATAGGAACCATGTGTCGGTAGGGAGTATAGGAACTTTGTGTTGGTAGGAAGTATAGGAACTGTGTGTGGGTAGGAAATATGGGAACCATGTGTGGGTAGGAAGTATAGGAACCGTGTGTGGGTAGGGAGTATAGGAACTGTGTGTGGTTAGGAAGTATAGGAGCTGTGTGTGGGTAGGAAATATGGAAACCATGTGTGGGTAGGAGGTATAGGAACTGGGTGTTGGTAGGAAGTATAGGAACCGTGTGTGGGAAGGAAGTATAGGAACCTTGTGCGGGTAGGAAGTATAGGAACCTTGTGTGGGAAGGAAGTATAGGAACCTTGTGTGGGTAGGAATTATCCATTGAAGTTTGTGTGGGTAGGAAGTATAGGAACTCTGTGTGGGTAGGAAATATAGGAGCCATGTGTGGGTAGGAAGTATAGGAACTGTGTGGGTAGGAAATATGGAAACCATGTGTGGGGAGGAGGTATAGGAACTGTGTGTCGGTAGGAAGTATAGGAACCGTGTGTGGGTAGGGAGTATAGGAACTGTGTGTGGTTAGGAAGTATAGGAACTGTGTGTGGGTAGGAAATATGGAAACCAT